AATTCTCACATAATCTTTCATTTCTTCATCTTGAAAACTTTTCTACCAGATGCCTAGTTTGATTCGAGGCTTTCATATCCGATTATTTTAATTTTGTTGCGTGTTCAGAATTCTCGAGCAAGGGATAATGTGTTGTCGCCTCTACTGCCCCTTAATCTGAACGGTCAGATCCTTGTGTAGTCTCAAAACACTTCCCCAGTTCTACCCCGTCCGGGTAAAGATGCTGGGTTTTGTGAGAATTTTCCATATCCTTTTTACCCACAAAATCCCTTTTAATGATACGAATTCATTTGTTGTGCATGCGTATATTTAATATATTTATTTATGGGAGGGAAAAACAACATATGAAACTATGCAACTGTTTCATTTTAAACCTTAAAATTTTTCATTTCACTTGTTTACTCCATCCTTAGTTTTATTTTTTATATTTGTTGTAATCTGTTTTTTGTTCATGCTAAATTGATGAAGAAAAAGGAGAATCACTCACGTTTTCTTTTACGAACTCATTTTTCAGTTTCAGTTTGTTTCTAAACACTGAATTCAAAGAGGGGATTGGGAAGAGGGAAGAAGAGAGAACTGGTAGAGTAGACAGAAAGTTCAGAGATGAAGCCACATAAATTTCTTTTACATAATTCATTGGGTTTGTTTGAACAAATTTGTGCGAAAGTCCATCCTTCCGTTTTCCTCCTCTCAATCCCGATTTTTTCTGCACTTACTCTAGATAGACCAAATCTTTTGGCCTTTCAATGAGATAAGGAATATGAGGGAAAGAGCACACTAATAACAGCAGCACATACAAACTGCAAAATCGCAATAGTTTTAGACGATTATTATCAATTAGTGGACTGTTGTAAGATTGATACTTGCATAGTTCATGCGTCAAAAATTATTAGGCCCTTCAATCATCAGTATTTGATAGCTTCCAGGTTTTCTTCGCCGTGTATTTCCTTCGGATATCTCATCTGTTTAAAAATACTCCTCTCGGGATTACGATACCTTCTCACTTTTTTCCCTTTTTAGCAATGAACTTTTTTCAACAGCTTTTTGCTTTAACAATGAATGGAAGAGCCGTTTTGTTATTTTTGGGATGTTAATTGGATTTAAATCTTATCTAGCCATTACCACTCTGAACTGTTTTTTTTTTTTTTTTCGCAAAATGAATTTGGATCATTTATTAGATCATTGTTAGTCCGTTCAGTACTTCTTTGACAAACCTCAAGACACAACAGTTTTCATAAATTACTATTTAGTTACACTGCTTGTGAATTGAACAAGTAAGACTAACCATCGATAATTCAAGTGCTGTTGTCATAATTTTGAAAGAGTTCTTGTCATCTCTTACTTTGCTTTATATTTCATTTTTTTGTTCCAGATTTGGTACCGGAAATGGTTAATGATACATTCATTGAATTTATGGTCCGTCCCGCCATGTATTAATTGGTGCTATTATGTTCAGTTAGCTTGTCCGCATCTTGCCACTAGTAAAGTGGTTGATTACGCTGGTCATCCAAGTTTTCAGTGTAGAGGTTATGCTTTTTGACCAAATTTAATAGTACTGAATTTTATTTTATCTGAACACTTCTGAACCAAAAGTTGGCAAGTATTTCATCGTTTTTTTTTATTTAAACAACGCTGTCCCAAAAGTACTGTAATAAGAATGACGTTTACAGATCTGCACATACCATCAGTTAGTGTTCCTCAGAATCCAGATCCCTTAAAGTTAACAACTATCATAAATTCTGCGTCAAAGAAGAAATCAACAGTCGCATTCAAGTGCGCATGTCTTCATCCCTGTGATCTAGAAGAATTTGACAATCTGGTCGATATCACCCGTACTGCTGAACAAAATCGGCCCAATAGCTATTCGAACACCATCCTTATGACAAGTATTGAAGTAAGTATTCGTGCAGATTTAGATATAAAAGTGGTATAAAATTTTTTTAAATCAATTGTCAGTCTACTAAATTCGACAGTAAGAATCGTTAGTTATTAAAATTGAGAGGCTGTGCGAATTTTTGGAGACTACTGACGATTAGAAAATTACGAAAATTAAAGTGATGAGATGCTGTAAATGATACATCATTTGCATGATTAGTGAGTGATACAGCATTAAGGAATAACTGTTCGTTAACAAAGAAGGCAACTTCGTAATAAGCCTTGTTAAAAAACTACCAATTATTAATAAAATTACTTGAAAGTTTAAAAATTTTTGCGAGATCTAGTGTAATGTTATGAATATTGTACGTGTGTGTATGACTACTTTTATGCACTACAGAATTTTCCGTTTTGTAGGAAGAAGATTTCTTCCCATCTCCGCAGCATTGTATGGTCAGACGATATATCTGCGGTAGTACGAAGAAAGAAGCAGAAGAACACCGTATAGTACGTCGAAGTTTAACTACCGATGTTTCAGCGGTAGCGGAGAAGTTGCGTAAATTCAAGTTGGATGATATCTCCTTATCAGATTATGTAATCAGTGTTGCCAGCGTTTTTATGCGATCGCCAGATTCAACTGGAGATGTACCTCATCGTCAAGCTAGTGCCGTTCAGGAAATCTTCACTGATCCTGTTGGATATACTTCCCAATGGTGGATGAAACATCGAGCACGACGACGTTCGCAGTTTAATGCAAATGCTGTTACTAGTATCCCCACTAATAGTGTTAATCCTACTACTGCTTCTATTACTATTGGTTCCACTACCGTAATTACACCTACCACCATCATCAGTTCCGGTGTCAATTGGAGATGGACGAGGTGGAGCACTTGTTCAGGAATTCCCATTTATACCTTGTTTTTTACTTTGTTGTTGCTCAGAAGGCCGCCATTGCTATAGGTTTTTTCATATGATTTTTTTTACTTTTTCAAACTTCATGGATTTCGGCCATTTTAAAGTAAGAAATAAAACTGATAATTTATTTCTTAATTTAAAATCTTATTTATATCATCGTTACTCGAACAAAATTAAGTTTAACATTCAGTTTACTCAGTAATGGATAGAGATTGAATTCTCAATGTAGAATTGATATTTAACATAATACTACTCATTCCGCTATAGAAGCCATCCGTTCGAAAAAAGAAAAAAAAAACTCTTTCATTGTCTTTTTGATTATGCACAGAAAGTAGTTGTCAGTAGCAAAATAGCAAAATTCTTTGGACGACATTTTGAACTTGTGAAAATCGACCTATAACTATAATAATACCGGTTATGAAATTTTGATTTTTTCCTCTCTTTTTTTAATAAACTGCCTTGGAATTTGTCCCTAAACTTTTACACAAAATTAAATTTTTTTTCCTTTTGATTATTAGCAACTAATAAATTGTTCCAAATCAACAAAATCGTATCCAGCTTATTAGAGCCTAATTAAAACTTGGAAGCCTTAAGCTTAAGTCTTCTTATTCTATCCGCTGTTAGCCAAATGATGATGTTTTTAAACGATGTGCCTTTATTATACCTTCAAGCACTGATATTCCACTTTTCCGTTATCAGCGTGCGCCCCATCGACGGTCATTAATCAGACGACCGATTGATTGATAATGTAATGTGAGAGGGAAGACAGAACCTTTCATGGTTATTCTTGCTATAAGGATTTGTAGCATTGACTACAGAAGAGAAGATTCATTTTTTAGGACTTTTAAGAATGTGTTTTTCTTGTAGGTGCTGTTAGGAAAAGTTTTTTGAAATAAAGCATGACTGGTTAGCTAGTATTTGCTCCATACTGCGATGTTTTGAAATTTAATCATCCCTAGAGAGCTGGGAGGAGAAGTTTTGCAAAAAAATCATAAAAAAATTACACAAAGCCTTAGATGAAGAAAGCACAAATTCTGTGAAGAAAATAGTTGAAAATCTTCACTTATTCCTTGATTGAGTGAAATTAAAGCTCGAAATGACAGAAATATTCTGAGACATTTTGATAGCATTTTGAAGAAATCGATAAATAGCAGTGGTAACATACAAAAGTCATTGAATTGCAGGTGACAAGCCTAATAAAACCTAAAGCATTTGCAGATTTACCGCAGTACAATTGTGGTTTTAGCATCACATTAAAGCAAGCATGTTCATCATCAGAACCTATGAAGGGTTTCATATCATAATTTGAGACATTTTTGCCTTTCGATGAAAAGTTCAAAAAAAAGCTATTAAATCTGTAAAGAATGTATTCATGAGCCAAAGCTCACCACTGATTTTGATCAACATTCAATACGATACTTATGAAAAAAGCGATTTTATCTTTCATAAAGTCGAGAAGCATTGATGGTCTAGTCACTTATTACTGCTTTTTTTTTCTCGTGCATATTTGATGAACGCTTCTAGTTTTTTTGTTTCTTCCACTTCATTGAATCAATGACAATTGATTGGTAATGACATACGATATTTCAATAAATATATTAAACATCATTCTTTATATCGCTTAATCATTCGACCATTTCCTTGGCAGCTATTAATGCAAAACAATCAGGAGCAAAGGATGAGTCATGGCAGTGATGTCAGCACAATTTTCCTGATAATTATTCAATGATCTTTAAACAATCATTCGCTTCCATGAATGAGTCATTTTGTAATACTTCTGAAGAAGGAGCACAAATAAGTGATACATATCCATGATTCTTGAACTGTTTAGGGAAAGTTCTCAATTATGGCGCATAACATATGAGAAATCGCTATGGTTAGTATTCTGTTCATTCTGTGATTCCAATCAGTATGCCACAAAAAGCTATCGACAGCCATTCGAATTTGCTGAAACCAGCTCCAGTAAATTTTTAAAACCAGTTGGAATTGGAAACACTTGTCAGATCTATGGATTTGAAGGGAAGTACCTTCAAATACGCCTGACTAAATCTTGATTATTCAGTCTAAGAATCATTAAATTTTCAATTAGAACAATATCATAGCAACAATAGAGGTACTTGAGTTGATCGGAAATCAACAAATAATGTATTGTTGGAAATAATGATTCATCTGTTATGAATTTAAAACTAATGAAAGACGAAAACTCAGTAAAGAAAAAATAGCGAAAGATAAGATTTGAACTAATGGACCCAATATACTAATTAATTAATGATAAAAAGTATGGGAAGCGTTTTCTTTGACAGGATGACATAAACACACATCCACAGAATTCAACATTTTATATAGCTGGAACTTTTTCAGTGTGTTTGAAATGCAATAACATGACAATTAAAGATATTTGGATCGAAGTGAGAGGAAAGGAAGGCAAGATAATGATGATAAGAGGATCATTCCAGATGGGTCATATCATCCTAACTGTTTCAGTTCATCTTTGAAAATACACTTATTTACTTTTGAAATTCCCGAAGCAAAAGCACAAAAGCCCTTTGAATAGTCGAAAGAAGTAGATTTAAAACATAGAGAAGAAAGAGTGAATGGGAATCAAATTCCATTTTACCTCATTTCCTATTTCAATATTCAATTGGTAGCAGTATAAAGTTAAAAAGCATATTAAGCAGCACATATTAAATTCATTTTGAAATCTTCACAACTTTCAGCAAACTTTAAATTTTTGTTCCAACTTCAGTCGTGTGTTGATCTCTTCCTTCTAACATTGCAAGCTAACTGCAAAATGGACTAATTATTGCGACTTACTTTGTTGTTTCAGTACCGCAGACTATCTCGGATATCACTCACAATTATTCTTTTTCCTGGAAGAGTTTTTTGACACCTGAATTCGAAGTTAGTTGTGACTGCATTCCAGAAAAATACCTCACCTTACGGATATATTAACCAATTTGTGTTGTATTTTTGAGTATCATAAGTACGGAAAGCTTCAACAGGTTCTAATTATAACTTTTACTGCCCTCCTTTGATACATTGCCAGGGTCAGACCGGCAAAGATTCAGATCCTTCAAACAGTTTTGCTCATTATGGGTGGATTTTGATTAGTGCAGCTATTTCCGAAGACTTGAGATATCAAGAGAACCTTAAAGTTCAACTTTTGGAATGTGCATTCACGTGGCCACGCTAACCATAAGAAGTAACGCCAAAAAGTTTATTTATTGTTTACGTAGTTTATTGTTTACGTTATTCCAACAGGAACGATAATTAAATTTATTAGGTTCATACATTTTCCACAAATTGCAATCGTATTCTCCCTTTAAAGCTTATTGTTATTGCTTCCTGTCACATAACACTTAAAATCTGGTAGAGAAGCCTAGCGGATCTTATATCGCAAGAAATTTTTGCCACATCTTAGCTCATCATATGGGACGAAATAATGGAAGAGCTATCCTATTTGATCTAACTGTTTTAATTAAAGATAAGATCAATTTTCGCATAGCGAAGTAAGGTAAATTCCCATTACATCTAAAAATTAGCTGTCTATATTAATAAAATCCATCATAAACTGTCGATTTTCTACTGACAAACTTTCTATTGACATTTTCATTCACATTTGTGATCTCATATCTTAACTGATTTTGAATTTAAAAAAAGGCGTGAGAGGCAAGAAAAAGAAAGTTTTGATTTTTTGCTGACGTTCTTGACCCATCTGCTGACCAAACAGTTTCTCGTTGATGGTACTAATTGAGCTTTTAATATTATAAATTTTGACCTATTCAATTCTTCTGGAAATCTCACTTTTCCTAAAACAGTATTATTGATAATTTTATCACACCTAGGTGTGGGTATTTCTCCCACCTCTTCACGTAACATTGAAATTCAGAAGTTTATGATGGGAAGACAATGCTTTCTGGATTTGTCATGTAATATCTTGACAAGTCATTACTGAACAATATTCTCTCTAACCATTCATAATTAACGAAGTTGTAGCAGTAACAACTTTGGCATTGAATTGGAAGATGGCATAAAGTAAAAAATCATTTACATGTAATTAATAACGTTCACTTCATCCTTTCTATAAAATTAACAATTAAATTAGCAAGTAACTATTTTGCAATTAAAATGTTAACGAGAAGGAAATACTAGTCGATAATAAAATGTGCTTGCTGCTCAAACGCACCGAGAATTTGTCTTCATTCGAATTTTAGTGAATTTTTAAATTCATCGCCTGAAATTTGAAATGAAGGCAGAAATATCAGAAAGAAAAGGTTTGTTGGCCTGTTTGCATAAGAAGCGATCAAAAGTTGGATTTGTAAACAAAACATCTGATGGAAATCTACTTTCGTTACTGTCGTTGCTACAATGAAACTGATAATAAGCCGTTCTTATGCTTAATCTTTTAGCAGTAATTGAAAAGAACGATAACTATTACTTGTCCATTAATACTTCCTACCTTTTAAGAATGAAGAACTGGAGAATTTTTAGCCACTCCATCTCCCTATTCAACTCGATCCATTGCCGGACCGGACTCCATCCTTTTTCCACAGTTTCATCATGTCTACACTCGGCGTTCGACTTTTGCACACAATGGTTGTCCGAACTTTAACTTTAACCGGTCAAATTAATTTCCATTGGTGTTTCGTTAACTCGGGTTTTCTATATAAATGAGTGTCATTGTCTAGTGTCGGTTTCATTTACTCATAATTGACCATCGCGGGAAGGGTCCACTTGCTTTGCTAAGCCATGAAATCACAGATTGTGGCTGCAAGAGCGCAGAGAATTGTCCGAGCTTCACGTGACACAATTTCAGGTCTTTAGAATCTGTAATGGTTCTTTCAAATTACGAGGCTAGCATTTTATATGCGAATCATGGCAGTGATTGATTCCTATTCGACTGTTGTTCTTTCAGATTCATTTACTTTTAATCACCAAGCTCGAATCTTGAGAGCTCATTGAGCAGAATCCCTGTACATATCAAAGCAGTTAAATTGAGTCTTCGAAAGTTCCGACAAGCAGTCTGTAAATCAGTGTATCATACACATTCAGTGCTCCATTAGTAACATATTAGATCATCCATTATCATTACATCATTGCTTCCACAAACATTTTGCGGGCAAAATTTCACAAAAACTTTTCACCAAGAAAACCAGTCAGTTCCGTTAGAAAATTCGTATGAATTTATTACTGCATTTTCTGAAATTCAAATTATATGTTCACATAACACAAATAAAGCTGGCTACTTTTCTTTCCTAGTTTTCGCGGATGTTTGTTATATTTTTTTCGGAAATCAGCTTTTTTCACCATCATTCTCCATCAATAATTTTATCACTTAATTTAGTCAAAAATATTATAACACTTGTTTTTTAGGCCTTACAATGCCAATTTTTGGCGAGACACCATCACCCTATGATGAGACCGTTGAGAAGGTTACTGCTGAGACATGCACCACGGAGAATTGGACACTGATTCTTGATATATGTGATCGAGTGATCGCTGATCAAAATAAAGGTTTTCGTTCAAGTTCCTTGCATGAAGTTCTCATTTATACAGCAGGCTGATTAAGATAAACTTTTTGGAAACTCGCAAATGCATAATCCTGATTATAGTTTACACATAGATTTTCCTGTAAGTTTACCTCTGCGTATTGCTGTCGTAGTGTTGTACTGCACGACGAAACACGAAGTAAACAACAGAGATTTTAGGAGCCAAACTGTGCTTGCTGTCAGTGAAGAAAAGATTAAATCATCGTGATCCGCATGTTGTTTTGCTAGCATTGTCTTTGCTGGATTCCTTATGGAGTAACTGTGGAGTTGCATTCAGACGTGAAGTTTCGTCGCGAGAATTCTCGCAAGAATTAAGTTTCAAAGCTACACATGTTAGTTGAAAACGTCCTTATGGGCATGAGAGTTCCTATCCATCGCTATCATCGAGTTCGTTCAGATTACTTCATTTATGCTTATAAAGCGCGAATATATTTGTGTTATTAGTAGGGGTACCAGTATTCATTAATTATATAAAGAGAGGCTAGGAACAGAATTTACCGTGGTTCATTGCACAAATTTTTAATGCTTGCAGAGTAATCGTTCAATCGGTGAAAAAACACGTTCGATTATCAAGAAGTGGTCAGAAAATGAGTGTAAACAGGATGCGTCATTGGGTTTAATTGAAACTCTCTACAAAAACCTTCTTGCAGAAGGATATTCATTCGAAAAAGACAGTTCATCCAAATCTTATGTATATTGTTTCATTTTTGATTTATAATTACCGATAATTACTGTACATGTGATTTGGAACGTGAGAACATGGGAAATATCTGCCTTCATGTTCTACCATCAATATTAAGCAGCTGTAGAAGCGCTGTGAAATATCTTGGGTGAATACCGATTTAGCAAGATTATAAATGCCACATTCAAAATATGTATTCATGCAGCACTGAGCAGAGTGGAAATAGTTTTAGTCGTTAAAATGTGCTTCCTGAGTAGTTTTGTAATGAAGCTTGCAGTCCTCAAACACCGATTCGAATGCTGTGCGAAACGCAGAGGAAGAGGAAGCATTAGTCCTGGCTATAGCAAAGTCACTGCAGGAGACATCGGTACGAAACGATCGTGCATCCTGTGTTTATCCACCGGTAACATGCATAGCTCCACATTCGTCTACCCCAAAGTAAGTTTGTTACTTATTATCTTTGCTGAAAATGCATGAACGGTAAAAAACAGCGACAGGTACTCTTAGTTTTCGATATCAGGTCAGAGCTGATACCATCTCCTGTCAGTTTTTTTCTTGCTGCAGTTATTTAAAATCCATAAAAACAACATCATGGTATCATCAGCTCTTCCTGATAGAAAAAGGATTGCCCTATGTAATGATCGTGAGACTTCTTGGGTGATTGATTCATGGTAAAGTTAAACCGTTCGAGCCGTCCATCACGTCCATCACGCTTCCCAATAACTCTAAGTTCTTCAGATGTCTTCTAAAAGATGCTGCTGACAGGTATATATAATAATGCTGAAATTAGGTTTTACGGAAGTCTTACTTTACTGAATAGTTTCAGCTTTCATAAAAATTACAGTTGTTAAATTTCTTCATGAATTTCAGACTAGAACGCGATGTACGAGCACTGTATGATTTTGAAGCTGCTGAGGATAATGAATTGACATTTTCGGCGGGCGATATTATTACTGTTACAGACGACAGTGATTTAAATTGGTGGAGAGGCAGATCCCATCGCGGAGAAGGCCTATTTCCAGCAAGCTTTGTAACATCCGACTTATTACCTCAAGAAAGTGAACCATTGGCCAGAGAAAAGACACTTCCTCTAGCTGTGGGTTTCTTATGTGAACATAACTGAAGGAACTAAGGAGCTAATTAGTAATAGCCGTTATTAACAGTGTTGTTTGTTTGTTCTGCTTGCTGGTCTTGTATCTTTTTGATGCTATTTTAATTTTATTCAGATAATTGTGGTTTATCGTGACATAGGTAAATCCCTGTAGAATGAAGAATTTCCTTCGTTCTGTCAGGATCTTTCGAAATCTTCGGAAGGAATGTGGAAATATGTGTGCCTCAATTACAAACTAGCCCTACCGGCTTATTTAGGTTTCTGTAGTGAGAATTGATAAAACAGTGCTGGAAGAATGTCTCCGTGTACTTGAAGACTGCGATCCGACGGGGGAAAGACCAGATCCACCTGAACTGGCAGATCTGGAACAGCAGAGTTTGGCTCAAGTACTTTTTAAGTTTTCTGCATATGCAGACATAATTTTGCATATGCAGATATTTTTTTTCCCCACTGGTTTTTGAGCTTTAAAGTGCACATAAAATTAAAGTTCTGGAATTCATATGATATACCTCAATCTTCTTTACTAGTTGATCCATTACAGTTTACTAAAAAGTGTTTCAGGCTCCATTAATAGACGCACGATTAGCAGAAATTGACAGGCAACATAATGCTTTGGCACAAGTGGACATTGCAATAAGAGATGTATTATCAATGTATGATCGAGCTGTGGAGCAAGTTCAGTATCAGGTTTCACTTTAATGATTAAGTTTAGATTGTGAATACGAATATCCGGTAAGATGTGGTATTTGAACTTCATATCTGGATAAATCCCAACTGATAACGAAATTTGGGATGTTTTATGAGCTTTATGGTTGGCATAACATTATGGTTTCTCTAAATTTTCTTCTCGAGATTCTGATCGCTTGTCAGTTACGGAATTAAAATTTAAATAGATTATGGCTTGCAGGTATCGATGCAACAGCCGGCAGCACAACCAGTGGTTAGGTATCAGGTACCCGAAGTAACGACGCTATCGACAGCACCATCACGAGCACAGTGGGGCAGTCCGGCAGAAAATATGTAGACTATGTAGACGCGAGATTCATGTATAAATTGTATCAAACAAATATTTAACTAATTTTTATAGAAGGACAGGGTGATGGTAAAGTACTTTCATGTACAAAACAAAAAAAAATTGGAAGACCTGGCAACTTTTGAACACAGATTCCCGCACTACTATTTCTCACTGCGTCAAAATACTTTGATACTCGAGATTTTGCTTGATTGAGTAGTGGCCATTCTCCACCTTGCGAGTAACAGTTGTGAATCTACGTGATCAAGTTCTAATAATTAGAACACCCAGAGGAGTGAGTTAAAAAAAGTGTTGTCATACAAACGCATTGATTATGATCAAGATATACCCCTGGGTGAATTTGAAGTTTTAGTATTATTCTTCAAAATTAATGAGTACTAGATTTTAACTTTATGGAAAAAATACTTCATATATTTAATTTAGGACATAATTCATTTCACAATCCGGCATTTTCACTTTAACAAATGTTTTTTTTTTTTCATGGGGATCTTAAATGCCTGAATTCTGTTTTGTTCACGGCACTAACCATTGGTCATGAATTGACCTGCTTATCGATCCACTGCAAATAACTTTCGCTGCCACTTTCTATCTGAAACAAAACGCGTGGCACATCGTATTTGATTCGAATGCAGAGATCACTTGAATCGGATTAACTGGAACGAGCCAATATCTATTCTTTAACAGTATTATCAATTTGGTTTCCTTAGAGAAAAAATGAACGAAAAATGGAACTCCTTGGCTCTAACCTTCTTTCCGATTTACAGTGTTGGAGGCAAGCATGATTTTCCAAATCAAAAAGACCAACAGAAGTAATTGTTAAATAACATCTTTCGAGGTAATATAACACAGGCCTTTTAAACGGTGGGTGCTTTTTGGGAAATAATATGCAATAAATGGACTGGATAAAAAAAGACCATATTTTGAAGCAAAATTTTGGTGTGATTAATGTCACCTTTAAATTGTTCACTTTTAAACTATTGATGAAGAGGAAACGTGTATTTGAAGCTCACCGGTAGAGCGATAAATTCAGGTACTTTATACGGATGCATGCTGAGTACTTTTGCTTTCAGAGCATCCAGCACTGATGATTTTGTTTTCATAATAAGTAACGATTCTTTGTCTTCTTCCAACTTATTCTCCCATTCATATCTGAAACTCCAGAAATAAGATGATGGACAAACTGGAAAACAGTGGAAGTTCTCATAGCATTTCAATAAGGGAATACAAAAACAATGAAAAAAAAGAAGTGCAAGACTTATAACGACTGGAGAGGAGGTGATTTGACGGGTGTTGGAGCATCTGATTAATCTGTCAAAGCTTGCTATAAACTTGGTACAGATGGATATGAACAGTTTTAAAATATGTGGACACGCTCATTCTAAGCTCGATGAAAGTTTTACAGGTTCTAGTTCTAGCTAAAGTTATCTAAAGTTATTTCAGTTCTTCAAATACTCATGAAATAATAGAACGCACATCGAAGTAATGGTTGGTATGATATTGACACAAGCAGCATACTTCCCCTTCACAACTTCTCTGAAACATGAGCTGTATTGAATTAAAGGAGAAACAGAAATAAAAAACTTAAAAGCATCATTAATAGTCTATTAAAAAGTGAAGATGATGGATGTTCGGTGGTAGGAATGTTTCCTCCTATTAATAGTTTTTCATATTCAAACAAAGTAGTTGAAGTTCATGCTTCAAATCAAATTGATCATGCAGCAACTAATAAATTTATTTCCGATAAGAAAGAGCAAGAACTTTTGACGGAAACAGGAAGGGAATACCTAGCAATTTGTTGTGCAACGGTTGAATTTGGAACGGTAACATAAACAACCGAATATAAAGCTTGACCCATTGATCGAGCAGTAGCCATAAGCTGACTGCACAGTTGGTATGCCACGAAAAACACAAAAACTGCAATCATCCTGCGGGACATCGTATTCATATTAAATAATGACTACGAATAGCGACAATGGGTTTCTCCACTAACTTCTAACCTGTGTATCAAGAGAGCTCTGAGTTCCCAAAACTTAGCTCAAATTAGATGATGAACTTGTGCATTAACCTTTGACACAATAATAACAGCAATAAAATATACAAATATTAAAATGAAGAAAGGGAAGCAGTTTTATTTCCTAAACTGGACCTGCTTTTCTAAACTGACCTTCTCCAGCAGTAATTGGTCCAACGATAAGCAACAGCTTCCGAAATTCTAGGAATATTCCAATCTTCGAATCAACAACCGATATCTGCAAGCTTGCTCAAAATAATACAGAAGGTTGACGACAGTAATAATAGACGCAATCGATCACGATGTAAGCGCTGTTGATTAAAGTTTGATAACCCGATATAAGAATGATCACCTGCTCACTTTTTCTTTCAAACCTTTGGATTTGAAGAGGAACATATGAACACTGTTAAGGAATTGAAACCGTGTGTTTTCCCATGTCTCTTTTGATCAACCAGTGCCTTTAATCATTGCTCAAAAACTGAATACAAATTTATTAAATTTTTCTTAATTAGTTCAGAGGACAGTATAAATAAAAGCGCCTGCCATTATATCACTTTTCAATTTCCTTTCAGTAATATCAATCTAATCAATACCAATCCGCGCTGCTGAATTTTCATGCCAGATAATAATAAGGGTAAATAAACATACTCTTTTATAAACGTACATTAAACATTTAAGTAAGGCTCATTTTTCATTCCTTTTACATATTTAGCGATAGCCAGGATGCCTATAAACTTCTAATGAACATAGGCTGATATATTTCGCTCCAAAATCTAACAATTTATTTATAACAAGCAAAACGACCTAAGGTCTCATCCAATCAACATGGCCTTCATAACAGTGTAACATGCCTGATAAGAACGTGCGCGAAATATCGTGATAAAGCCGCAATTCCTCCAATAATTGAATATATAATCGGGAGAGCGGGCAATATGAACGACAAAAGAAAGGGATATTCGCGGAAAAACTTCGAGTTAAATATCTGAACAGATGGAGTGAGTTGGAAGCTCAAGTTAAAAAAGCAAACATTTTCCCTTTTCCCGTTTCTTGAGTCTTCCAGAGAAAAACGATCATGGCAGGAATTTTTTATTCTTATAATACAAAAAGATATGCTAAAATTTACATAAATTAAACATTATAAAACATAAGTTTGAAATATGACCAGCATCGACCACTAACGTGCTTGTTCAACCTAAAAGGACGTGGTTGCTTTTATAGCCTTGCAAATTCTCATAACAGAGAGACATCTGTGGTACTGCTCAATAACTTCTTTCATAGTTCCTACGGAATCAAAATACCAAGTAAAAAACAAGGACTGGTCATCTACTTCTCTTTTTAGAGAATTTTGATTTGTCAAGAATTGAACTTATGAAAAAAAAAAGAATCACAAATTTCAGAAATTTCAGGAAAATTTTCGCTGACTCCTAAGGCATTGGAAGAGGTAACAGTCAACTAAGGTCAGCAAATCAGAAACGGTAGTCTAAGTACTCCTTGACAGGAAATTCAAGGGTCTAATTTTCTTCCAGCCTTTTTCTATGCAAGTGACAGTTTGCGTCCAGAAAATTTCACAATTTTCATAATTTCCTAGGGAATTTCAAAAAAAAAAAAAAATAGGACATGGAAACACTAACCTGGTGCGCGATAATGTCCAGCTGTGGTAGTCTGACGCTAGTTATCGTGTTCAATGGCATCCTACTTTGTTTACTAGAACATGGTCATGCCACAGCGGAGATTGCACTGTGTGAAGAAAAATTCGCAGCTTCACTGAGAGTAGCTAAATTTGCGGCTGCAAGTTTTTTTCTACTACTTTAAAGAATTGAAGGAAAAATGCAGTAGCACAGAATATGTGATGACTACCAACCAACCATCTTCAAAATTCAATAGACTTCACGCTTTTGCCAAAGCACAATTATTTCAAGTTAAAAAAAGCAAACCAGTGAAAAGAGAACAACTCAGGGAATCAAATTCCTGATAAAATCAATTGAAATTCAAAACACATCTTAACAGTAGACGTGTTTACAGTTCCCGATGGTGGGTGTCGTTGCATTGTCACAAATATGTGACCTCTCTATAGAACAGGTATTACATTACTGATAATTAAAGATTTAAAAAATAAGTTTTAAAAAATAAGTATGTTATTCCTTGCTTTGGGCATCATTTTTTAAGCCAAAAAAGCGCCCTCCACGATGTAATATACACATGGAAAACCGGAGTAGCTCAGATGTCCCAAGAAATTTGGCTGGACTAAAGCTATTTGAGCTACATTAATAAGCAATTAATTGTCATCTAAAGACCACATGCCGACATGTGAACGATACTTTCCACCGTTCAACCCTATGTTACAATTGCTGACTACACGATACTCCAAACTCTTGACTAATTGTAAGAAAGTAGACCTAATTCAACGGTGCAAACTTGAAACTTGAAATACCGGGGATGTCAATATATGAAAACTTAGTTCCGATAGAAAAGATTCATGTGCTGCATACTCACTAGTGTAAATAAATCTTCACCGAAAAAAAAGGTTGTTGGCGAGTATGATAAAGACTCCATGGAACGCCGAGCGATTATTTACACAGTTATTGGACAAGATTACGTCACGAAACAGTTCATTGACACTTGTCCGAAATTTCTTCGGAATGGTTATGAGGGAGAATATTTACTCTTTACAGATAAATTATGAAATTTGTAATTCATTTTGGAAATTTATTTATCAAATGTCATTTTTTATTCATTTTCACCACTCAACCGGCCAATTAAGCGTTAAATTGCTGCAAAAAGTATTCAAATTTCAATCACGCGTCCCAAAAGCCTCATGCCAATACAGACATCCGACCTACATTAACAGACAGGATTGATATCGCTTGACTCCCACTATCCCTCTTGGAGCAAGTAGACCAACACCGACAGTCATAAGTTGGCCTGAAGTGTGAGACTATGCAGCTGGTATAATCCTTATGAGTATTTAACAAACTGAACAAATGTGCTGGCATGATTCAGTTGCAACTGAATAATATGTAAAATTTAGGCGAAGCATTTCATAGTTTGGAGGACTAATGTACGGAAAACCTTATCTGTCATCCAATTCGAAGACTTCCCATGAGAAATGAGGAAGAATCTAGAACATTAAAACAGGCCAAAAATTCTAAAAAGAATATAGTTAAGTGAACTTTCAAACTTTCAAAACAGAGGAGAAAGAATCTGGAGTTCCAGTTACAAGATTTTTTTTCACAACCTTCGTGGATTTTACAACAGTTGACCAATATTCAAAAAAATTTTATCGCCAGACATACCACTTCAGTAAACTAATCATAGCACAAAACTAACGTTCGTAAGAAGTGTCAAATGCATGCAAAATATTAGGATCTTCTGAAACATATGCAGGAATACAACTTTGCGGTACTACATGAAACATGCAACTTCCTACTTAACTTTAATGATAATACATATTTAATGGAGTCCACCTCAATAACACCAAATAATTAATCGGGAATCGAAATATTTAGATACTTGCAAAACGACAAACTGCCAATTTGTTAGGGAGAGAAAAAAATAATACGATACAATGAGAAAAGGTATAAAATTAAACTTTGAGAAGAAATCGATAACTAAAGAAAAGAATTCCAAAGCGTTTTAAAGAGATCTTATTGATATAGCAGAAGAGACGAAGTACTACCGAGTGCTAATGGTGATATTTTTGTTAGTTAAGAAATTTGCATTGTACATCACTCAGTACATGAAGCATGCAAAAATCAACGTACATTAGCTGAAGCTCGAGCGAGTGCAAACAGTGGTATAATTTTCCTTCTACAAGGCACCGACATACCCATATTACTTTCATTGGGAGATTAAAAACTATTTAAAAAAAAGGAAAATTAAAATCAGAAGCACTTGAACAGAACCGATAAAAAACGAAGCTGGATACTTTTTTGTCGTCGTAGCTTGAATAATAATGTAGACGGTTATAGTGAAAAGTCCCTTCCGTTCTCTAAACCGTTGTAGTACCAATCCGGATGATCTAGAAACTTGAAGTAACTATTTCCATTACAATAAATCCACTATCCATTCAGAAGGGATTACTACATCATGTGTCAGAAATCTCTAAAATCTAGGAAAACCTATGTATATTTATTAAGCGCAATCTTCTGGCTAATAATTCTTCCCGAACGATAAATGAATGCATCGATCAAGCTTGCAACTGTGAATATACCACCAATAATGGCGCATATTGATACAAGAAATGTAGATAGACTCCTGAAAATAAATTTACTTCTATTAGACTGGACCTTTTTCATATCCAAGATTTGATGGTCCAACTACACTGTGTGGTGAATAAAAGCAGCTGAAAACATCACCAGGATTAACAAGGATTCCAGCAGATAAGTTTTAGGAAGAAAATAAGTATGCAAATCATAAGAGATATCTGAAAGAAAATGAACTGAACAGAAAATCAGTACATAAGCATTAAGCTACAATAGAAAGAGCATATTTCTAAGTAAAGAGTTAATTACTCCTGCGTATTAATAAGCTATTCCATAATTCAAATTTTTTTAAGCTATTTCATAATTCAAATTTTTTATGACTTATGATTACGAATGTCGTAATCGCTCACACTTCCGCTGCAAAGTTCTTAATGTTATAGTGTTCAATGCGCTCAGCGGTGATAAAAAAAGCGCCTGCTCTAATATATTCAATATAATATTTAATAAACAATACAATATTTAATATGTTTAATATAATATTTAACACCACATTATCACCATACACAAAATAATAAATCATTTGATTCACTTTTAAGTTATCATCTTCAACGAGTCACTAGGACCACTTTTTTCTTCCACTTTTGAGAAGTACGAATCCACTAATTCTAGATGAAGTAAAAGACGTGTCAGCCAGAAAAATTTTAATTTTCCACAGAACCATATTTATTAAATCCTCCGCTGTCTTTAAAATTGGAAAATTGAAATAGTTAACACAAAACGTTAATGATACTTAATCCAAAAGCATAAATGTTTCAAGCATATCTTGAAAATTCTTGATTTGAAATAACTGTTACAACATACTGTTGCCTTTCCTCATACTTGACCATCAACGGTGAAAATTCGTATTGTACGAAAAAACCAGGTAAACCGGATGCTCCTTGAGATATATCTTTTTGATAAGTAGTGACTGAGAAAAGATGACTGAAGATATTCCGAGTAGAATCCAAAAAAACATATGAAGTTGGTACCAACTTCAGATGATACTGATACATTATACCATCTAAAGAATCAAATTTTTAGAGTTATTCCACTTAACGGAATATATGTCATTTACTGAAGGCAAAGCATATTTAAAGTTGCAAGGAAAGTTTTAAAAGTCACCTGAATTCCTTGCAGATCCAAAAAATTTCCCGTCCAATGGATAAACTTTCCCCGGAAACGAGTTACCGAAAGAAAAATGATTAACTGTATGGCTCGTGTCAAACTTTGACGGTGAAAGCGAGTGTAAATCATGAACTGGAAAAAAAATGAAAAAAATATGTCTTCCTCAAAGTGGGGAAACAAGTCCAATAAAAAACTCAACGTAAAAATAGTTAATATAAGACGTGGAGTACGAAATACCAATCTGTATTTGG